ATGTTGAAAGGGCCAAAGGGGAATAATTATGTTTTATGATATATACCGGACTTTCAGATAGTTTCACTATCTCAGTCATCAAGGCTCTTATTAATCACCATGAGAAGTTGGAAACCTACAAATACTCTGTAGCCTGCAGGCTTGCAATAAACAGAATATGAATAAGCATTTTGAATACATAAAGTTAGAACACAATCAGATAGGAATTGTTTGATTTAATATTAAGTAAACATTTTGTGTTGGTATATTTGCAATTAATTTGTTCCTTTTCCCGTACTTTTGTCGTTGGTTGATAATCCGGGACATCTCCCATAATGCCTTTCACCGAGACATGTACGATGTTCGGATCGGGAGCTAGAGGTCGCCGATTTATATCAAGGCAGCATCTATGAGCGATTTTATGCGGGTACCGAGTATGCGCTTCATCGTTGGAATTGTGTAGCAAAATACATACCGTGTGTATTGTGTATGTACGCGCGACTGGGGTGTGGTGAATATCATTTCTGTACGGAAGAAAGGCTTGTCCAACGGAATATCATTTATTTTTTGTGTGGAAAAATAACCTGTTTTGGACACTGCTGGACAGTGCATTTGTATCAGGATAAACAATTTTAAATGGAACTACCAAGAATTCTAGAGAGGGGAGAATAAACAGGATATATCGACGGTTTGTGGGTATTCGGACTCTGTGAAGAGCGGCTGTTGTAAGCTTACTGAACTGTGAACAAACGTTATTTTACTATTCCAACATGGGGTGCGCTACGAGCGCAGAAGATAAAGCGGCCGCTGAGCGGTCGAAAATGATTGATAGAAATCTACGGTTAGAAGGAGAAAAAGCAGCAAGAGAAGTAAAATTATTGCTCTTAGGTACGTATCCTGGAACCCTAGACCTATAATGAAATGAAAACAAAGACAATGAATTATTAATCATTTCCAGTGCTACATTATAAAAATGACATGATAATGTTGATGAAATTGTAAATGCTGCACACACATGACCGAGGCGCAGCTGGATTGGCGTCTCTATTGAAGATGTTGAACAATGAAAGTCGAAAAAGTGTTGAACTTGAACTGTTTATCAAATCGAGGAAAACACCAAGTTTATCAGGCTTAGTCTTGGGTTTTACTTTTAGGGATGATTGCTCTGCAAGCAATCAAATGTAATCTAATCTGTTCAGGTTTTTGTAGAGCAGAGGCATTTAATTATTGTCAATCAATTTCATTGTCTGTCATGGACTTGAAATTGAATTGTTTTGGCCAAGTTCTTTGATGCATGGGTCATTTATTATTTCAAGCTACACATCTATACTACAGACATGCACACAAACTATGGTGTGTGCATAATGTGCCAAACTTCTGAGTCTGAGCCTTTCTGACGTACCCAGGTCGGGAAGGCCACGATTAATGGCAGTTTGGCACATTAATGTGCCACACTAAGTTGTCTAGAAAAGAACAACAGTTGCTGCTTTAGTTTACTTGCTTGTTTTGTTCAATCTGACTGCATAATTAAGTCTACCATGATATAGATCTAGGTGAGTTTGCAAGCAAGAATGCTTCACGAACAATAATGTAGGGCCCCTGAGCTTGCCATGTGCAAAGAAGGCTGTGTAAATGCGAGATTGTAAAGTTTGATTTGTGAGTGACATCACAAATACATTATGAGGTGAACTGAGATGTGTAAATGAGGGATTATGGAAGCTTACATTATGTACTGTACGTCATGAAATCGTGAATGTCTTCTTCTCCGACCACCATCTGAAATGTATAAAGTGTAAACTGGATTTTTGGTGAACAAGATGTTTTTTAGGTTTAAACTGACATCATGTGATAAGAATCATAAGATGGTGAGAAATAGAAGATGGAAGGATGAAGAGGAGAACAAGAATGGAGAAAAATGCATGAATTTGGGAGAGTCTGAAAGAGAAATGAAAGAAAATTATAGGGAAGATGACAAAATGGGAGAAACTGATTGCCACAATGAAAGAGGAGATGATGAAGAGAGAAAAGCATCAACATGTATAAGGAAGTACATGTAGCAAAAGAAGATGAAAAGAGAAAACCTGATTGAAAAGACATAAAGAAAGAATACAAGACATCAAAAACACAGTAAAGGAAGGTAAACATAGAAGAAGAAAAAAAAATGAATACATGTCATGGTGTTCAGTCCTCATTGAGTAAAATCTCAAATATTTCCTCACTTTCCTACCCATGTCTTTGTCCTGATCCAGGCTATCTCGCACCCGGGACATCTCGGCCCCACTACAAAAACGGTCACTTTACCCTAAGTCCCTAACCCTAACTCAAACCCTAACCCTAAACCTACAAAAACTCAATATGAAGCATTCGTAATAATTCAAAACATTGTGAAAAGATTTTTGAATAATCCTTTCCAGACTTTGGGACGATCTAAACCTGTAAGTCTGTACTCTGTAACCAATAATCAAATCGGAAGATCTGATGACAAAGGCAAAAAATGTGTGCCCACAAAAAAGGCTGAAAATTTGTGTTATAAATGGGGCTATCAAATACAAATACTTAAAAACATTCATAGCTGGGATTATTTTGTCATTTGTAGTAGTTGTAGACCATGTTCTTTGATATTAAGTGCCTTTTCGTTAGGACATGAGAAGAAGCAAAACATGCGGCGAGCCGCCATTTTGGATTATAATGACAATGGAGAAAAAAATTGTGCCTACAAAAAAGTCTTAAATTTTTACAAGATTTGGGCAATGAAATGTTTTTTTTTTAAAGTATACCTGGAATTATTTTGCCTCTTGGAGTTGTTATAGACCATGCTTGTTGATGTTTTAGTGCCTTTTCAATTTCATGCCTCTGAAATTGAAAAATTTTGGTCTAAAATTAGCTCAAAACATGCGTACCATATCCAAAACTCAAAGCCCTTTTTTTTGTACTTGTAGGCACACATTAATTTTTTGTTGTCATCAATTATAATCCAAAATGGCGATTCACATGTAGTGCCTCCACATTTAGACCAATTTATTAATGGCATGAAAAAAGCTTTAAACATGAATACAACAACTTCAACTGAGATAATTATCAAAGGTACATGTATGAGTGATTTTAGGTCTTAGAGTGCTCATAATTATCAAATTTTGCAATTTTTGGATGCATTTCAACCCCCCAAATCATCAGATTTCCTGGATTTCGGGAGCCAAACCACTGATTTTAAATACACGTACCTGTACCATTTTTGGTAACATTGCTCCAATTTGAGGCCAAGACTGAGGATTCGGACATCTGGTTAACATGCATCCCTGCGATTTCTTTCTTGACACTCTACTGTAAAAAGGACTCCTACCCAGCCCTAAATTCTTTTTTCTTTAGATGGAATTTTAGGTCTTCATTTTATCATACCGATATTTTACGTGTGTGTACATGTATTCCTGTCAAATAACTATTTGTGGGATAAATGTGCCACATGCATACAACATGTAGGGACATTGTCAACCTACTTGTAGCCCCTCGCATAATCTAGATACAGCATATCGTTTTCGTGGACATTAATACTTTCAATGTTAAAGTTTTTATGCACCTGGTTCTATTATATTTATAACATGTTTTGTTTGTGCTTTTTTCTTTCTTTCAGGGGCTGGTGAATCAGGGAAAAGTACAATTGTAAAACAAATGAAGTAAGTATTCAAACCAGATTTTGGGGATAATTATAATATAAACACATTTTTATTACATTCTTTTAAGCAATATTTTCTTTAAAAAACAGTATTTGTCATAGGTTTGTGGCTTTAATAAAATCAGTCCATATAATTGATTCAGAAGACAGCAATGCATATTGTCATTGGATATCACACCTGTCTTTTTATTTTCACTCCGGCATTTGTTTCTGCATTGTCAATGAAAATCTCATCTGAATAAGATGTTTTGGAGTGACAGATATTCTTTGCAATCAATCACATGCTCTGAATTAAAGATTACACACAGTATTATGATCTTTGTTTGTCTAATAGTGAAATATTGTATGGGTAATTCAAAAAGTTTTTTTTACAAATATTGTTCATAGGGTTTTTATAACACTTGTACCTACAACTGTAGTATTGTACATGTACATGTACATGTCAGAAAATATTGCCACTCTTCAACTTAACAATGTGCAAAGTTGTTATCTATCAAAACTCAAAAGTGCATATTCAATACTCCTTGAAAAGACATAAAGAAAGAATACAAGAAATCAAAAACACATGTACATGTACATGTACTTGTCGTTTAGCTCATTAGATTGTGTGGAAAGCGGATGAAGACTCGCTTCACTTTCATTGTGTAGTCCACTCATCCCTTGGGCTACATAATTGCTACTCTCCATAGGTTCATAATGGTACTCTCCATGGCTTGATTATATGCCAATTATGCATCACGATGTACATGTACTGTATCTTCATGATGGTTGCTAATGACTACAGGAGATGTTGTAATGCACTCATTGTACATTAGACAGCACGGAGAAAAAATAATAGTACAGTGTACTGTACATGTAATTCTTGTATTTAAAAAAAAAAATCACATCATTTTCCTATATTTGGGCATCAACTTGGGCAAGCGATATGCTGGAAAATGTTGAAACCTGTTGTCTCTTTATTTGGACAAATCATTAGCCTGCCTGATGTAGATGCAGATTTGTTAAGAATTTGTTCAAAGGAGTGTTTCATATCATAGGTATTTACAGCAGGGAATAATTTTCCTGGTATCGCATCGCAATTTGCTATGCATTTTTGCATGACTGCTATACAAAATATCTTTTGTGTAGCAGTTTTCTTCCATAGAAATGTACAGAATTTCATTTGAAATATTTATCCATCGGCTGAAATTGCTAATCAAAAAATTTGAGGAAAATTATTCCCTGATTTACAGCATTGATAAAGTACATGTATTGTAATGCTACATTTTTTCCTTGTTTTATAACCTCTAATTCTTCTTTGTTTCTTCTAAATGTCACTTATTCTTGTATATTACTTTCCTCTTTTTCTTCTAGGATTATACATGAAGAAGGGTACTCTGAAGAAGATTGTAGGCAGTATAAACCCGTGGTATACAGTAACACAATTCAATCCATGATAGCCATCATCAGAGCTATGGGTTCACTCAAGATTGACTTCGGAGACACAGAAAGAGCAGTAAGTAGTAATCTGATATTTCATGTTAGTGAAAAAGAATGTGATTCAAACATTACTGTTCACGTTCTTGTTCACTTTACATCATAAAAATAAGGTTTCAGCTGAAAATACATAAACATCATATTGTTTTATGATTCGAGTTTCACATGGATGTAACAAAAAATTGGTCCTATGAAATATCGCTATTGTAAAAGTTACTTCTTTGTTCACAGGAATCCTTTTTATGTCTTTTTATTTTATTTCATAGAAAACGTTCTGTGGACAAGAGATATTTTTATTTTCCTCACATTCGTTTTTTGTGTTATTTTTTGTTTTGTGTTGTGTTATGTTTTGATTTGTTTGTTTGTTTTTCTTTTTACCATAATGTTCACTACCTTTGCCCAGCGGTGTGCATGTACATGTACACTTGTCCTGAGAACAGATTAGTTCAGACAATTTATTTGATGCATGTTTTACCTCTTTTCGGAATACAGTGATTTACAAAGAACAAAATCCATTTGGTAGTTACAATGTAATTTCCTTAGAATATTCTATTTGTACCATGAGGTGTATCTCGTTGTGCATACATATAGGGTGTTGTTAGTGATTGTTCAGCAGCCGAGCAGAGTAGACTCTTCTCTATTCCAAGAGGATGCGCTTGGAATATCCAGTGAGAGGAGAAAGAGGTTTTGATTTCAGTCTTTAAGTGGCATAAATTACAGCTCTCCTGCAGGGTTTGTCTCCATAGAACACGGCTCAACTGTGAAATTGATCCATTTGCATTCAAGCTAGATTCACTTGTGATTTTACCTCAGAATTTATTTTCTCATTCCTTTATTTCTAATTTAAATGTTCTCTGCTTTTATCCCTGTATTTTTTTCTTGGTGGGGGTATTACTTTTTTAATGATATTACATGGGGTTTGTGACCTTTTAAATCATTTTTGTTTAAATTCCGTCATTTGAAGAGATACTGTAGTAAAACCAGAAAATATTTGCAATGTACATGTGCAGGGCTCTGATCAAGGGCACCTAAGTGTTACATATAAGGTGAATTTTAAAAGTCAATTATAGACTGTGGCAACATTATTTTTGTAATCTGCAAACATTATGCAACATATAGCTAAAAAATCAGACCTTAACAAATCGCCGTTAAGTTGCAATCAGTAGCTAAATATCACATCATCAAAAATGTTACGTACATAACTCGGTGTCCACTTCATGCTGATATTTCCCTTATAATTTTAATTTTTCTGACAAAGTACATTAGATGTTAAAACATACTGTAAACAAAACTTAAAACCCTTGCCATATCAATTTTTTTTCAATTTAGTTATTAGAATATGGCCAAAACAAATGTGGACACCGAGTTATGTACAGTACATCTTATTCTCTACATGCTTTCTCTTTGCCTTATTGTCAGATATGGTTTTGCATTAGTCTAATAACGACTTCAATTGAAGGAATGATGTGTTTCCTGAATGAAACATAATTTGCAATGTGTAAATAGTTTGTAAACTACTGAAATGTAAGATTTCTGTACTTACATGTAATCGTACATAACTGTGGACACCAAAAGTAAGTAGTTCTACATTCAAATAATATTTAACTTCTTGTTCCTTAAATTCAATAAATGTTTGTTTAAATGAAAATACAGAAGGGTGCAATTCATGCTGTATGGAATAAATAAATTTATTTATGATAATTATTTCAAATTTTTGATTGGTAGTAACGTACATAACTCGGTGTCTTTTCATAATGGTGTCTTAGTTATGTACATGACATGAAAAAGTTCAAACTGCAATATTTTGTAATATTCTTCTCACCAAATCAGATGTGTGTACATGTCTTATACATTTTTTACTAAATTACCATGACAAATAACTAAATATAGGTGGTCTTATTGGAAAAACAAAACATGGAATACGTACATAACTGTCACGTACATAACTCGGTGTCCACATTCATTGTTGATTAAATAACACATACAAGCTAAAATGCGGAATCCAATGTTATCAGTGCTCTTCATTCACCTATATACACCATTACATTGTCATTTTGAAAGTATACAATATGTTTTTGTATAGATTCTGGTGCACTGGTTTGTACATAACTGCAGGACACCAAACATTTTCCATTTACAGACATCTAAATATTTTTAAAACCATGACCCAGAATGAGATGATCTGATTGGAAATCAAAGATAAAGTGAAACTAAACATTATAACATTGCAAGCTTGTAAATAAATCAATTATTTATACACCATTCTTCAGTTAGTAAGGTTTGAAATTTGCAGGACACCAAAGTTATGTACATATCACAAAACTTGTATCACATGTAAATAGAATAAGAAAGTAAAATAATAGGAATTAACTCAACAGAAATGTTAATTATTACATAGATTCTACATCAAGATAAAAAAAAATCATAAGTTTTGCATCCCATTAGTAAAAAATCTGGTAACCAATTAGTGCATGTTTTGAATGTAACATTAAAAGTGCTGAAAATAGGCCTTTTTACATCATAAAATTGCTCTACAATCTTGAATTTGAACTCAATGAAGCTGAAACCATGTTTGGAGCTTCCCCCAATGGTACTTTCTAATATAAAAATGCTAATTTGTGTCTGGGTCTCATGGTTTTGGATAATTAAACAATTTCCCTGTGTTCAATCTAAGGGTACCCTTGATCTGAGCCATGCACACATGCACTAAAAATGACAAAGTAACCATTTGACTTAAGATTGGACTAGTCGTACATACATGTACATGGACAACACACCATGCTTTCACTTATTAGATTTTTCTTTATTTTAATCCCAATCTTGTATTCGCACACCATGGGACAGTACATGTACTGTAGTCCCCCACATTTATATAATTACAGATATGGCTTCTTTCCACATTTGTTTTATTTTGGGACAAAACAGTGCTGCTGCCAAGTCATGTGTAATGTGATATTGTTAATGGAAATTGAAAGTGATTCAGACCACTTACATGTATGTCATTCAATTGGCGTGGGACCATTAATTAGCATACGATTAAACCACAAAATAGAGGACTGCTACATGTTCATAGAGTTCATTTACATTAAGAAGAAAATAATCACATGGCACAATGCTTTATCACATACATGTACAGGTACACGTACATGTACATGCAGACTTAACTTTTATAAAGCAACTTTATTAGCAAAAAAGTCCTCAGTCCTCCAAATTCACATTTATTTTGGGGAACCTTTTCTCAGAATTGTTTGAGCGCACTTTTCATAAGTTCTTGAATATGTACAATACATGTACATGTCTGCTTCAGTTGTATTACATGTACATTGTACATGTATCTTAAAAGTACATAAATTTGTTTTTTTTGATAGTCCCCTGGAAATTAGTAATTACTGTAAACATACATGTACATGTAACTGCATTTATTCTGTTATTCCTTTGGTCATTTTGTCACCTTGACCTAGGAAACTGAGCAATTTGTCCGCTCACATGGTATCACATCCATGAGATGGATTTCAAGGAAGTAATGAAATTCAATTTTTTTTCCAATGGCCTGCCTTGCCTTGCCTGTCTGGAGTGAAGCAGGCAGCTGGCTGGCGGGCGGGCGGGCTTGATGCCCCTTTCTGAAGCTGAGATGTCGGTGAGGTAATGAGGCAGGACGAGTATGCCATTGATAGCAATCCAATAACACCATGGCCATTCCTCATCACAGCTGCAGCCCCTGATGAGACTGCATTGTGTTATCCTACATGTATGTCTCTATCATGATACACAGACATCTTTTCGATGGAGCTATCATCCAATGTCGCCCCGTTCAATCGATTACTTGCATTATGTCATTCTTCTTGGAATTTTGAACGTGCAAGTGATGGTACATTTATATACATTCTTTCTATGTAATACATGTTGTGTTTTTTGTGGGGTGGGGCAATGTACAATAATAGCTCTCCATCGACTCCATTAACACTATTTAATGGAATATACAGGAAACCCTATGTTGATCCTGATAAAAAAAAATAGTTGCAATTGGAGTTTGCACTACCCGATGTTCATGTACACACTGTGAGCCAATCTCATGGCTTTGGTGAATAAGTTGTTTTCTTTGAGCAATACAACATTAATAAAATGTACCAGCGATTGACTACATGTACATGTTAATGCCTAAAAAATCGCTCTCTTGACGATGACCAGACCATTTATTAATGCTACATGTACATGTATATTGTCAGACTAGAGACAGAAACAGTAGGTATCAGGAAGAGCGGGCATTGTCAGGATATCCTGTTTCAACCAGAATCCCAACAAGGCTACATGTACCTGGGCTCTCTCTACCCATCATAATGTATTGGGTGTTTTCATAAGAATAATATTACCTGTATAATGAGTTTTCCATGAAGTACAAGGCATTGGTAATGTGCCGTGCTTTCTGTTTTGTTTTAGAAGTCATTAGTGCAGTCAAATTACATTGATTTTGCTTTGTCACAACTGCTTGTTATAGTGATCTCGACTATTTTAAGAAATCCTTTGTAATCAATTGCTTGAAAGTACATGTACACCTGTACATATATATGTAGGTCTACCAAATTATATAAACATTATATTTGATTATTATATTAAACCAAGCATTGTATAGAACATGTATGTACACTGTACCAGATAGATTTATTGGTCAAAATAATTGAATACAGTACTGGCAGTCCTGATATATGATCAATTGTTGATTGAATGGTAGTCTTTAGACCATTTTATAGTGTTTCCATGTTAGGTAGATTAGATTTAGGATAATTGGTTAATAAAAGAGATCCAAATGTACAAGTTTCATGCATGAGAATATCTTCAAATTACCTTGATAAGTTTAAATTTTGGGCCAAAAATGAAATTGTTCTAAATTTTCTGAAGCTTCTCTAGTCCCAGATTGTGTTCCAAGAAAATGGATACTGTACCCTATCTTTTTGAAGATGTACATGTAGGGATGCAAGACTATTGGGGTACCTACAGTAAATGTACATGACATGTTGTCTT